AGCAGGAGCTACTTCCACATGAGCAGTCTGGGTCGGTCCCATGCCGCCTGCAGCTCCCCACCGCAGGAAAGCATCCCCCTCCTGGATGCCCAGGCCAAGCTCCCCTTTTTGCCTCCAGGCGTGGAACAATACATGGTTGTGGAGAGGTTTCTCTTCAGATGAATTCAAATCCTTCCCTCCTGTTTCGACTGAGAATCCCTAAAAGCTTTGAGATGCTGCAATGACTAAGAGACAGAGCAAGGAGGTAAATAAAGTAGGTGAGAATAAACTTCACTGGCTTCAGTCGTCTAGAGAATTCATTTGCATCCCTGAGAACATCCTGTAACAGCACCTTCTTCCACCATCACCTGGTAATTTCACTCCCAACTCCCTGGGACAATTGTCGCTGCTAACTTGATAACGCTGCTTGTGTCTGGCTTTGGAGGAGACAAAGCATCTCAAACACGCTACTCATCATTTCTGAAGCAATCTTCCTGCCTTTGTTGCTTGCATACGCAGTGAAAGAGAAGTGCACAAATCTTAATCTTAATTGCCAACTCAATTGTTGGGAAGCAGCACGCAGAGAAGACGGAAAGCCCGGCAGTCGGAATTCAGACACTGCAAGCGGCAGCTCACAGGGCTCTGCCCACTGCCAGAGGAGTGCAAAAGTGTTGCCATCAACTTCTCTACCTCTCAACAGCCTCAGTTCCTTACAGGACTGCAGCACAAAACTGGAAATTCCAATGAAACCCAGGGAATTGGGTTCTTTTATAAAGCCCCGAAGTACCCTGGTGTGCTCTGCACGCTTGGCCTTCTGGCAAGGGTCCACTAAAATGTTGTAGCTATGCGATTTTTGGAACTGTTGCCTCCTGTGCCCCCCAGATCCAATGATGACTTGCAGCATCCCTCCTTTGTGCCATGGTCCCCCCAAGAGACAAGGAGGGTCAGCCCTGGGATGAAGGTTTGGCCCCCTGTTATTGGGCAGGAACCCGCCAATCCCCTGAGCACAGGAGAGGAGAAGTTCCTCTTGCACGTTTCATCACAGCTGATTAAGCTGTGGTTGGGATGAGTTTCTAAAATCCCCCAGTTGCAAGTATGAGCCTTTCTCTAGCCCCAGTGCATCTGGATTTGAACACTGGCACTGTTATGAGGGTGCATCAACAGTACCCAAAAGGACACAGAGGGGAAGCAAGCTCACTCCAAAGGCTTTGCCAACAGTAGTGTGCAGGACCTGCTTTCAGAGATGTAGGTACCCCCAGAACAGGTCCACCTTTGATGTCTTTTTGGAGCAATCAAAGCAAGACACAAAACCAGAGCAAAAGCAGTCTGATCAACACTGGGAGCAGATTCAGATTGCTTGTCAAAACATGCTGAGAGCACACAAGCTTCAGGGACACAGTTCCAACGCACCCACACAAACGTGTAAGCCCTTGCCTCACCAAGTCAGAAAGCAACGACCCACAAGATCCAAGTGTCTGCTCACCAGAGCATCAGTGCCATCTGGGGAGCTGACACACCACACATCAGACTGAGACGTGCACTCCCAGTTCCGCAGCTACGCCAGGACTCTGCCTCCCAGACCTGGAGACTAAAGCATGTGCCCAGCACAGCTCGGCACCGGGGGAACGACCACGCCAACGCTCCTGCCCTGCTCCCGCAACGCACACCTCCCTCCTCGGCTTCCCCAGTGAGGACCACAGCTGCTAATCCTGGCTTGTTGCCATCTTCCCCCCAGCTCACCAGTGAGATACACCAAGATACCGAAGCTGAGGCATTAATTCCTTCCAATCTAAAGCCAAACCAGTAAAATTCACCACGAGCAGAAGCTTTCCTACGGTGCTCATTTGCAGTGGAAACCGGAGCTGGAGGCAGCGCCAAATTACATCCTGGAAGATATACAGTACACAATCACAGGTGAGGCAATTTTTGGCGAGAAGGAAGGCAGCATGGATGGGCTGAAAGGCTGAATAGATGGGGAAAAAATGAAACAGAAAATGGAACAGACAGAACAAGAACTGAATTACTGACATATGCATCCTCATCACAACTAGGGGACCTGGATTCTTCTGAAACACTGTCATCCAAGTGCAACGTAAAGCATTTTTATCCTCCTGAAAAGCAGCTCATTTCTTTCTGTACACATCAGCTGTGTGTGCTTGCAGAAAGATGCTGCAGCATTTTCTATGGTAGCTTCTTTTTTTTTTTTTTTTTTCAGTTACAAATAAATTATTCTTCAGAGGGGGAATCGAGCATCTCTTCTTCCATGCAAACATGGTGCTTATGTACAGTGCATACTGTGGTGTTCGCAGTGTAAATAAGCTTCAGTCTTATACTGCACAGATAAGGCGCAATGCAAGTTAGCAGTGTTGTGTGGCAGCCCCTCAGTCTCAGGGCTGCCATTCAGACATGCTTTTGGCATATAAAAAAACAAGAAGCAATTATAAAAAATTTAAATTAACTGGCTTTCTTCTGCTCCAGCCACCTATTTCATAACACAACTTTGGAGCTGGTGTGGCTCTTTAACACAGCTATCAGAAGGATTTGATCCACCACCCCTCCAGCCCGTGGTGGCACTAATCCTTTCCCTCTCATTTAAAAGATAAAAGGTGCTGCCTCCCCCACCCACAAAGCCCCACGCACCACTGCAGTCCTGCAATACCTTTGTCCGACATCACTCCCCATGGATCCCATCCTCCGAGCCGGTAACAAGGGGCTCACCCCATGGACATCTTCTGTCTTCGCTGGTGGGACAGTTTTTACATGGGAATTGCTCTCTGAAGGGGAATTCTTCAGCTTGGCTCTCGCCATCCTGTGAGCTTTGGCTGCCTCTGTGACTTCCTCCTCTTTCCCCCCTGAACTCTCTCATACATAGCAATCCTCACCGCATTCAGTTTAGAGCTGTCGGCACGTACCATCTCCTTCCTTCTTCTCTCTCCCCACTCCCGGCCGCTCAGTGGAACAATCCTGCCCTGTACATTTATTTTGGTAGTGAGGGGAGTCAAGGCAAACTCTCTGGCCTTGCCGCTGCAAGGAATTTGGTGCAAAACGACGGAGAAAGCATCCACGATGCAGAAATCTCTGAAATGCTTTGTTCAGTAAATAATGTAATTGCCTTGGCGGCCTCCTTTAAAAAAAATGATTGCATTGCTCTTATCACCACAAGCAGGGCAGGGGCTGAGGGATTATTTTTTCCCCATCCCTGTTTTTCAGTAGCAACGTGAGGGGGAGGAAGCTATTTTATCTTATTCCTCTGTGCAAAGAGCAGCGTGTGGACTGCATGCCAGGGAATAGACTCAGCGTGCTTGGCTCGCAGACACAAAGCAGCAGAGCAAGGTCCCCTCCTAAACGCACCCGCTGTGAACTGAGCAGAGAGGAACTCACTCCTGCTTCCCTCGGAGCTACCAGTGGCCACAGGGGCTCAGCCACTGCTCACCTGCCCAGGCTAAAACAGCACCCACAGAGGCGCACACTACCTGTCCCAGAACAACCCAGTTGTCCCTCTTCAGGTGAGAACAAAAGCTGCTGCTCCTTGAACATGCTTGGCATTAATTTCTCAAGATGTCAAACAGAAAAGGGAATTCCCTGCAGCCAGGGGATAAACCTGTGAGTTCCCTCAATACGCAGGTGGGACTGGAAAGCGGGGAGGGGGGTGACATGTGTGTGCATCCCGCCCTGTTTTGGAGATGCCACCAGTCCATAGCTGCTCCTGCTCGTGCGTGATGGCAGCCCTCAACACAGAGCACCTTCAGGTGGCCCATGAGGGTGCCACAGCACCCGGGGCCGGAGCTGCTCCCGGGGGCTCAGCACCACGGACAGCGGCGGCACAGCTCCGCCCCATGGCACCGCCCCATGGCACCACCCCACGGCATGCCAACACCATCCCATGACACACCAACGCTACCCCACGGCATGCCAACACCATCCCATGGCATGCCAACGCTACCCCACTGCATGCCAACACCACCCCATGACATGTCAACACCACCTCACTGCGTACCAACACCATCCCGTGGCATGCCAACATCACTTCATGGCACACCAACACCGCTCCATGGCACGCCAACACTGTGTGCTAACGTCACCCCATGGTGCACCCATGCTGCCCCGCGGCATGCAAATGCGGCTCCACTGCACACCAGTGTTGCACGGCAATGCTGCCTCACTGCATACTTTAAGTAAAGACTAAATTCACTGGCTGGTCACCAGCAAGACACCGTGACATGAAAAGCCAATGCAAATAATTAAAGTCGACGACAGGATTTCTTTACAATTAACATTATGTACAGAGACTCAACATATTGATAGCTGCAGGAGACTTCCCAAAGTCTGAGAAAGGCCGGCTGTGGGAGGGCTGTCTTGGAGGTAAGAAGCTGCCCTGAAATGGGAAACCTGGGATCCAAAGTACTTCACTTTCAGAATGAAAAGCTGACATTTTCCTCTGGCACCAGCCGTGTGCCCTAACCATACTGCACACTTCCATACCCCCCCCGGCGGCTATTGGAACACCCGACACCACCGTCCTGCACCAAAGTCTGGGAAGAAAAGGCCAATCCTTTTGTTACTCTCTCCTTTAGCAGTGAACTGTCAGGCATGAGCTGCGCTTGCTGTTCTTCCCCCTAAGGTTGGTACCTAAAGGTGACTTATCCCATGACACAAAGGCAATCCCTGGCTGATCTGGGAAGAGAAATGAAATCCCTGTTTCCTGTTAACCAAACCCTTGTTTCCCTACTTAGAGTATTATTTCTTAATGGGATTTCACCATAAGACATACTTTATTTCAGCATTTTGAAATGTAAAATGGATAAAAACCCACAGCCCATTTACTAATGTGCCAGCTTTCAGCATACATTTAATTTCTCCTTTTGCCTCAAAATGATTCATTAGCTCGATGCATTCATTTTCTAACAGAGCCATTCCTTTCTGCTTGATGGTTTGCTCCAGCCTCATCTTGAACTTATCGCTCCGTCTCTGTTTACTTCAGGATGTTGTCCTAAAACCGCGAATGCAATTCCTGGTTTTAGCCCGTTGGATTGGTCCGTGCCCACCTCGGGGCCTGATGAATCCTCCCGGACAACAGGAGTCACTGGGACTGGGGCAATCGGGTCTCTCTTTTAGGGAGCTATTTGCAAATTCTACGTTGTATTGTATTCCTAATTCCAAAAGAACATTAATTTCAGAATTGAGGGTTGATGTGAAAAGTGGTTTATGCTTAAATTATAATCTCAGCACTAATGCCATCAAGCAGTCATGCTGAACAGAAGAGGTATTAGGAAAAGACCTGGGGAATTGTAACAGAAAATGGAAATTCTCCTGTCATACTTTTGCTGTATAGAATGTGACAAAAAACACATCAAAGAACCTTTTGAGAAACTCAGTTCCCACTTGCGGGAACCTCTACATGAAGACGCCTTCTCTCTTAAGCACTTAAACACAAACCAAAGCACAAACAACAGAAGAGAGGGGAGTGATCCAGCGCAGGGTCATGAGAAACTGCAGCCAGGGCTGCTGGTTTGAATAGCCATTTCCCTTCCAAGGGAGAAAAGAGGTCGCCTGACAGCGCGGACAACCTCTCCAAGGCTGCGTAATCCCCCAGAGCAACCCCAACGGCTCAGACCCGCAGTGGGCTGCCGAAGCAAATCCTTTGATGTAGTTCTGTCAAAAAATATTCCTCTCTCAGGCAATGCAATGTGTTCCACTCTTCACCTAAAGACCTACAGCCCCGGCAGCTTCTCTCCTCCCAAGCCACCTCCCAGACAGGCACCGAGAGCTCTCCTGCCAGTAAGAGCAGTTGAAGGAGGAGGAGTAAGGCAGGAACTCAGAGGAAAGGCAACCCGGAGCTGTCTGGGTCACTGAGTCACCAGCGATGCAGGAAAAGCGCCCCGGTCCTCTCGGCTGGGAGACGGGAAGCCAGGGCACTGATGAGAAAAAAGGAAAAATAAAAGTACTTGAGTGTTGGGCTGTCGGTGGAGTACGTCGCTCTCTGTCAAAGGCTGAAGGATGACACTGAATGGATAAAGCAGTAACTCAGAAAGTGAAGGGCTGTCCCTTGGGAAAAGACATTCAAGACTAATTGCAGGTCCCCCGTGCTGGTGACACCCGTTTATGGCTGCTACACGCTTGCCCAGAATGCAAACAATGCAACTGGCAAAATGCATCACTCAGTACCTCCAGAATGCTCGTTCTTGCCGGGAACCTGCATGTTCCTAGAAAGAGCCGTGGCTGTAAAAGTAACCTGAAGCGCAGCTCGGCGAGTCTGCTCTGCAGGGACACGTTGTCTGTGTTTCCACCCATGGTGTACAAGGGTAAGCTACACATCAAACACCTTGTTTGTGCAGCGCGTTCTCCAAGGGAATCCAGGAATGAAAACCAACAAAACACCACCTTGGTATCATCCACGTCCGAATAAGAATTCCTCTGGCCCAGAAATATTTGCCCGGCTAACTGAATGCCAACCATCTGACCGTAAGCCAGGAAATCAATGTATAATTTTAGTTTGAGAGCCCATTAAAAACTGCTGATTTCTCATTTCAGCGTCTGCATTATGCAGAGACCACTGCTGCGCCGGGGGCTGGAGGGATGGCTGGGAATTGCTGAGCAGCAGTTGCAGTGGTAATAATATTTCTGAAAATAAGATTTAGAAAGAAGCAGATTTTTCATTAGTCTTAATTGAATCTGCAGCAACTGCATTGTTAAATATTCTCCTTTTATCTAGGTAGCTTTCAGTCCCAACTGCCAAAATTCCTCTCATGCACCTATTCAACTTATTATTAATAAAGCATGACCTAGCCCATTAAAACCAGTTGATGAAACAGGAAGGGGCTGCGTTTTTTCATTCTTCTGGCAAACAAACCTGTTATGTTGAGATACAACCCAAAAGCATTAGCGTGCAAAGCCTTCTGTAAGAAAAGCCCGTTTAATACCTTCAAAAATCTTGAAAAGTCACCCTGAAAGGCATCAACTATGCAAAGACACTTCCAACGAGCACAAAAAGTTCCTTGGGTAGGAGAGCACGTTTTGCTAGGAAACGTCTGCGCTGACGACCACGTCACCATCTCACGAGAGACTTTCATCAGCCACCGCAGAGCTGCTGCTCCACGGGAGGGGCTGCGTTCATACAAACACGGCGTTAATTCGAGGGACCTCAAGCTGAAAAGTCATTAAGGCTCATTATCATCTCTCTAGCGAATCCCCCGGTTCTATGGACCCACTGGAGAGCCGCTCGAGGAAAATCACCTTTCCATGGGGCTGCAGCCCGTCCCCTGCGGAGCAGCACAGCCCCTCCGGGGGCTCCTCTGCAGGCTGGTGCGGGTTTGTGATGCCTTTCCAGGGCAGCCCTGACCTCCCTTTACTTAATAACCCCAAGGAAAAGCAAGGTCCTACGCAATTTTATTATCAACACAAACACTTCCTATATTTCAAGACCCCAACAAATGTAGTAACATGACATTAATGGCTTAACAAACTTCAGAGCACTACTAATACTTTGACAAAGGTTACAAACCTCTCCGGCCCAGCCATTCGCCCAAGTGTTTTTCAAGAAGCGCACGTGCATCGGTTTTGCTCTTTAGTCATCGGGGAATGCCAAACATTGTCACCGGGCGTTTTTGCAAAATAGCTTTTCAGAAGCTGCCAACGTCTCGAGGTCGCCAAGGCTCACGCACAGCCCTGCGACAACAACTCCCCGCCACACCGCGAGGCTGCCGCCGCCGCTGGGCTCGCACCCAGCCGCATAAAGCAGCGTTGTTTAAGCACCAGCACAAGCACACCCCTCTTCAACAGAGCTGGCTGGAAATGTCAGTATTTTTCAG